TTAAATAAAAAAAGTTATAAGTTGACATTTTTATTTAAAAACTGACAAAATTAATATTCTTAAATAAAAAAATATAAAATTGACATTCTTATTTACACATTTTTTCAATGATTAAGAACTTGAAGTTTCAAATTAGAAAATTCAAGTTTGAACTTGGGTTTAGGAAAATGGAAGAAGAAGTATCTCTCTTGTATAAACCATTCAAATGTACAAAAAAGAAAAGAAAAATCTACCTCCGTTCAAACTTTATTACTTCTCTTAATTGGGTCTTTTAGCTTTTGAGACATTAGTTTAAGATAAAAATTAACATGAACATAAAAAAAAAAAAAGATAAAAATTATAAGAATGATTCATTTACACAAAAATTTTATACATTATATTTATATAAAATTTTAACTATTTATCTCTTTATTTTTAATAATTAAAATTTATCACAATTCTTTAAATAACAATAATAATTATCTTTAAATAAATTCGAATAAATCTAAATAAATCTCAGTCGGTAGAGGTATAAATGATTAAGATTTTTTTATAAGTATAATGTGTAAAATTTATATATAAATTGACATTTATTCTAAAAATTAATATAAGATATAAATGATAATAAATTTTTTTTAAAAAATGAAATTATTTAATAACAACTACATATAAAAAATAATTTCAAATTATTACTCTTATACTTTATTAAATTTTGATATAAAATTAATAACCAAAAGTTAAAAAAAAAAATCAAATTAGATAACTAAAATTGAATTAAGGGAGTATTTATAAAAAAATTAGTTGTTTCTTTTCTTTACTTATTTTTTATTTATTTAAAAGTCCAGTATCTCGAGGCTATTGAGTACTTTATATTAATCTTTTTTTAATTTGATTTTTTTTTTTAAAAGTCATTCATACTGAGACTAAAATTTTTATCATCATTGATTCCCTTAAGAAATCGAACATGGCATTTTGGACTGGTTTAAAAGAAGAAAGAAGCCAACAACTTAAATAATTTAGTATTATTTTTTTCATTAAAAATAAAAAATTTTGAATTCAAATAATATACGATGCGAGTGTGGTAAGATAAAAATTAAAAAATAATTATTTTTTATTGTACAATCAAGATAAAAAAAATAATTAAGATAAATAAATTAAATCCAAAAGACTCTTTTACTAAAAGAGATCATTTTCATTTCATTGGCTGGAAATAAAGTGTAAGAATAAAATAA